AAATACACCCAAATATATGTATTTTTGCTACCAAACACTCAGATATATAAGGAGAGTGGTGAGCGAGAAACAAGATAAGAGTGTACCTTAAATGCATCCGAATCCACTTGGATATAATATATTACTCCTAAAAATGACTCTATATATCCAAGATACATGTATCTTGACGCGCCAAATACGTATATTTGTGGCCCAAAATTTGTAAAGTGGTAATTTCGAAAAATCACTAAGAGACACATAATTGGGCCAAAATCACCATTTTTATTTGGGCTTTTTCTAATCCAATCCAAATGGGAATTCCCTAAATTCCACAAAATCTTTTACTCTTCTTCATCTTCATTCTTCCCCAAAAAACCTCAGCTTAATCCCCAGATGCTTATACTGATAACTGATAAATCCAAGTAGATAACGAAGAAGAAGAAGAAGATATACCTGTTAATCCCAGAAGATTTGAGCTTTTTCCGAGTTCCATTTCAAGTTTTGCAGTTTCTGTTATAGAAATGCTTAGCTTAGGAAGTTATCCAAGGCAACCCCATTGTTGTGCCAGCACAATTTCACAATGTCTTCCTCTTTTTTGCAAGATTCCTCAACCCCAATTGTTTTTTACTTCAAATACAGTGACCCATTTAAGGATTCGTTCTCTTATTGAGCAAAAACGAACTGGGGTGTGCGTTTTTGCACGCAAGGATGAAGAAAAAAGGGGGAATAGTGTGGTAGAAATGGAAGAAATTGAGGATTTTGATGATGACTATGACGACGACGACGATGATTTTCTAGGGGATGAGGAAGAGGTTGACGGAGACGACGACGACGATGATGAGGTGATTATTCCATTAAGAAATATGAAGAAATGGTTAGAAAACAAGCCGCGTGGGTTTGGAGTAGATAAAGAGTATGATACTTCAGTTGAAGATAAGCTGATGGAAGAAATTGAACAGAGTAGAAAAGCTCAGCTTGCTAATATCAATAAGCTCAAAAACAATCCAGTTAAAGCAAATACCAAACAAGTTCAGCAGGATAAAGGTAACTTCTTTTTGTATATTTGGGTCTTAGATTATATCATCTATGAATGCAACTGAATTGATAGGAAACAATGAACAAGTTTATGTATTTTGTTCTTAGTTAGTTACCCTTGACAATGACTCCTTTATCACCTTAAGGACTTAATAGGAGCTGAGCTGAGCATTTGTTCTACTATGATGTTCGGGTCAGCTTGTGCACAACTCGATTAATTTCAATGGATACTTGCTAGTTGCTACCTCTAACCAAGATATATTTTTTTGTTAGCTTTTGGATGCAATCTGGTGATTGCACATGGTGTAGATCAGTAGATGTAATGCTACACACAAAATAGAGGGATTCCACAACCTGTAATTATGTCTTTAATTGTTCATTCTTAATTCGAACCATCATTTAAAAAGGACTAATATCAGGGCTGAAATTTGGTGTATCGCAACCCAAGTCAGACGTTTGAGCTTGATGTTGGAACTAAAATTACGAATGTTATGGAATCAAACAACTTTAACTAGTTAAGTGATCGGGAGTATTACTTGTAGATGTTTAGTGTAGAGCAAATAAGTTTGGAGGATAAAGTAGAGACCTTAAGGAGCTCCAATGACTTCTGCATCCTCTACTCTTTTAATAAGCAGTATTTCACTTACGTTCTACAATTTCTAAAGTTGTTCAGGATGGACTCTGTGTGCGCTTGGTCAATCTTCCTAAGAAAATGAACGTTGATAAGGATCTACGAGTAGCTTTCAAAGGAGTTTCAGGAATAGTCAACATAGTTCCAGTCGTGACTGGGAACAAGAAGACCAGGAATCCTGTTTGTAAAGGCATGGCCTATATTAACTTTAAGTCCAAGGATGAAGCACAAAGGTAACGTTCATGGCTATACGTAAGAAATAAATGGGTGACGAGGTGCTTATGTAATCTTTACCTTTGCATTCATCCCTAAACTATAGAATGTTTGTTATTGTAGATTTGTGCAAATGTTTTCTGGACGAAGTATAAGTTTTGGTAAAGTTCAGAAGCAAATAAAGTGTGAGATGATAAATCCGGGATCACCTAAGTCCACAACTACACAGTCAGTTCATAAAATTAAGCATGTCCCTGAAAAAGATATACCTGATTTGTCCCGAGACCAGGATGATGATTTTGACACAGATTTCCTCTCGGATTCAGAGAAGAACATCTCCACTGACTATAATGTTGCAGAGGTGGAGGATTTATCAGCATACACGAATGGTTATGAAGAAAATTCATCTGCTGAGTCCACTTCGGGTGATGAGCAGGATGTTGGAGAAGAGTCTGAATTCGCAGAACAAAAGAAAGTCGAAGCAAAGGAGAAGAAGAAAAGGCCTAAGCAAAAGAAAGAGCAGGTCCCAAAATTGAATATTCCAGGATCTGCGCGCAAGTAAGATATAAGCTCGTGTTATAACATACTCTTGTACTTATGTTACACTCTCATTGCATTGGTTTCACTTATCATCTGCTGCAATGTCATGCAGGTTGAAAATTAAGGAGAAAGCTGTACTCACTGGAGTTTTATCCAAATATGCACAAAAGATATCGTCTTGACTGTGAGAAAAACTGAGCTAACAATGGCCAGCATTCACATTTCTGTAATGACGCTATCTGTGTTATTGTTACTTTTGACCACTAGCGTAGTCTTTGCAGTCGTTCATTTTTTTGTAGATTTATTATTCACATCAATATTAAGGTCAGGTTTGTTGATTTCTTGTATGTAAATGTTAGTATCTGAATGAATCAACGGAAAAAATTTGTGTGTTGATGCATATGGTTGGTTTTTCATTGACGTAGAGTTGAAGGTTCTACAATGTTTGATGATTGTGATTCAACTGTGTCCCTGTTTCTTCTTTCTACGAGATATTTCGCGTTTCTCGTATTAATTCTCAGAACTGAGACATGGAATTAGTTCGTACACTTCAAATATATGTATGTCAAATCATATTTCATGCATTCAACCCCAAATCAAGAGTGTTATAACTATAGAGCAATCAAAAAATGCAGCACAAGCTGGAGTTTAATTTGCAGTAGATTCAGCAGAAAGGCCTTATATAGCATGCCTTGTAATAAAGACAGGTGAAGCTTTTTTCTATCAAAAAGATGACCACAAATGTATCAAGGCAGAGGAAAGACGAGACATTCAACGGACAATAAGTTTCATCTATCACATTTCAGAAAAAAAATGATCTTCTTCCCTTGAACAACATATCCAGTGTATTTCCATAAAGTGGAGTCTAGAGAGGGTAGCCCTTACCTTAGAGATAAAGAGGTTGTTCCCTTTATCTTTCAAAAACAATCAGAGAGATGGAAAAAAATTGATTCAGACCAGGGTCTGCATTAAGCAGTGAACGCATAGATGCATTGGTCATACAGTAAAAATTCGTGGGAGGTATTATGCCATCATCAAAACAGGTCTGAGTGAAACAAGTACTAAGAAGAAAAAGAAGCAAGGACCTTAGTGAAATGAAGAACATCCGCAAGTCTGTGACTCATAGAATGAGGGTTGAGAAACTCGTGTATATGAGCTATTATAAGACTAAACCAACGATTAACATGATGCATACCTCAAATATTCACCTATTAGGGCCCAAACTGCTATAAGAAAAAAACAACCTCTTAGAAATGCATTATGCATTTTAGTCAGCAGTGTTAATAATGCTTCTGTACTTGAGAAGCTCTGACTTTAGAAGGAAAAACCAGCAACCAGCTAGTAGAAGTTCCATGCACGTATCACTATAAGACAGTTTGATAGAAGACCTAATACATATAAACCATGTCGGACTATCCATGGATTGAGAAAGTCATCCTCTCAAAGCTATTCATACAAACAAATCAAAAAGAGAGTGGAATTGAAAGAGCTGAAAGCATTATGGAGACTCCACGCTTGACCCTCATCCAAAATAAGGAAACCATAGTTAATATGAGCTTGAAAACTACAAGATCGAGGAAGGTATAACACCAAAGCTATAAGTACATCATGAATTGATGAACTGAATAACAAGGAATATAAGTGTAACTTGAACAACTCTATTTTTTATTTTGATGACGTGAAATGTAACTTGAACAAATTTTCTAAAAAGAATTAATATGGGACTTGAGAAGGAAGCCAATCAAATGAAGGAACAATTGAAACAAAAAGTGGAAGAGATATTCGGATAAGACTTTGAAACAACTGTAAGAAGACCCATCAACTAAAGAAACAAACATGTTGTTTGCCCATTCCTTTCTCACTGGGAATATGTTTCCCGCCCTTTCATCAGATAAGCTCAACAGTTCTACCATTTTAGAAACCCCTTCACTTAAAAGTGTATCCATTGATATGAAATTAAATGAACTTCTGTAAAGCGGAACAGACATTCATATAGTTCACCCAACAATATCAATAACTGGTTAAGTGATAAGTTCATCAAATGGATAATTTTCTTATAATGTGCCTGGTTGAAAATGAAGACAAATGCCTCTGCTGTTCATCCTTAAAACCTAAGAAATAATAAGATACCAGGAAATTTGCAACTAAAACATAGCTAAAACGCAGTTTCCTCGAGAACAGTTTTCTACCATACATTCAAAGAACCAAATTGCACACAGTTCATATGCTCCAAATCTATCAAAAGCCAAAAACACCCAAATCAACTATTGTTACTTCTACTCTAGCAAGATTATTATCATGGTATCAGTCTCGCAAAAAGAGAAATGAACTAAAACCATTCAAAATATTCCTTAAGGCCACAAAACTAATTTCTTTTCTTCAGCAAAGATAAGCTGGGATCTTATGCAGATAAGCAACTTAACCATAACATAAGCAATGAAACCAAAAACCACAAATACTCAAATCAACTTCTGTTACTTTAACTCTAGCAAGATTATCACGTATCAGTCTCACTAAAAGAGAGATAAACTAAAACCATTCAGCAAATTCCTCAAATCCACAAACTGATGATCATATGCTGATAAAAAACTTACTCATGACATAAGCAAAGACAACAATTTTCTACTAAGCATTCATGAGATCCAAGATTGCATACAGTTCAATAACCAACATCTACCGAAAGGCACAAATACCCGAAACAACTTCACTTACTCCTCTTCTACAAAACAGTGTCATATGTCAAGCTCTTTAAACTAAATCCATTCAGAGAAATCCTAAAAATAACATAGTGCTTATTAAAACAAAGATAAAGATTAAAACTTTCAGCGAAGATAAGCTGGGATCTTGATACGGATAAACAACATACTCATAACATAAGCAATAACAACAAACACAATCCCAGCTGATGCAAAAGAAACCTTGACACTCTTTTCTCGGTTTTTATCAGTTGCCAAATCCAAAAGCACAATCCCAATACCACCTAGTACAAACATGAATCCAGAAGAGAGTCCTTCAATAATATACTGACCATTAACTCGACCCGGAAGAAACACCACCGGTTTAACAGCTCCGGTGAACCGGTCTTGGGTTGATCCAATTCCCGGCGGTTCAACAATGACGTCATAAACGATGCCAGAGACGACCATAAAGTAGGTAAGAAGGATAAGACTGAAAACTGTCATGGCGGAGGGAAGAGTCACCGATGGGATTTTCAGACGGAGCTTTGGAGGGCGGAGGAAGGAGAATGGGAGGATACGGAGGATGTGGAAAATTGGGTCGATGGAGTAGTCATCAGACGGATCGGAAAATTGGGTTTTGGCGGTGGATGATGCCGGTTGGGTTTCCGATTTGGGTGGCATTTTGATTTTCCGGCGGTGGTTCACGACGGAGTAGATTTGCTGTTTTTATTTTTCGCGTCAATGAATTTATGGGAAGAAACACAAAAAGCCCACTTGAGTGTAATTTGGGGGAAAATGCACAAAAAGTAATTTATTTATTTTTATTATAATTATAATATATCAAATCAAACTCTCTAGTTAAATTTCTTAGATATAAACTTTTTACTTTACTAATAAAAAAAGTTCTCTTCGAAAAATATAATTGTATAAATAGTGTTATTAATGAGCAAAATTTTATCGTATTTTGAGTAATATCACATATTGTTTAAGATTGAATAATTATTCGTCGTCAGTTAAAAGACTATACTCATCAATAGAAAAAAAATATTATTTGAAATTCATTAATGCGCTCAAGAAAAATGAGTAATTTTTTTTTACCATGTCAACATTTTGTATCTAATATGATAGATAGTCTTTGAATATATTATGAAATTAGATATCTAAGTGAAAATTCTTATCAATTTTAAGTGCCAATAGATGAGTTCAGACTAAGAAGTAAGGGTATGGAATAAGCATGAAATGTTTAGATATTATACACTGAATTTATATTCTCGATGTGGCCAACACTCAGAGCCACTAATGATTGTAACGGACTCTTGATATATCTACTACTAAACTAAATATTACAACAATTCTGTGAAAACTTTTCAAGAATGGGTGCAAGCAATAATTTTAGAGAGACAAAAACAAACTCAATAACATTAAATCTATAAAACTGAAATCTAAATGATAAAGATGTTTGTAAGCGAATTGAAACAATAACACAATTTACTCATCTATGAAGTTTTTCAGTACAATGAAAATAGGTATCTGGGTAAGATTCTAGGCTACCTGAATACTCTACAAGTCAAGGGTGGAGGCACATGCAAGTCGGGGTATCCAATTGGACACCCTTCGTCACAAGAATATCATGTATATAAGTAAAATGATAAACAAAGTAATTAAACAACATACTTTGGATGACCTTGACGCATTGTAGCCCATTGATTTCCGACCCCTTTAATGAGTTTAAACACATTGAATGAGTCGGTACTTGCGTATTTAATTCTCACTAGCAATAAAGACAATTAAATAGTAGAGCATGCACCTATACTTTAACAACAAAACTTTACAACAAAAATATGCATCATTAGCAAATATTAAAATAAGCGTCTATCTTTAATGCGTTGGATAGTTTCTCTAACCTATATCCATCTCATGAGTCTCATGATAATACAACGTCTTGCTTACGTTGCTAGAGTAAGCCTATACTTTGTCAAGTTATAAAACGAAGATTTAACTTGTAGATCTAAATGTAAGCCCTTACCAAATGTTCACTAAATTATATATACATAGCATGAGAAAAAGTTGTGTTCTTACTATAATAGTCTTATATACTCAAATTTTTCTAACCTTGTTGGAGAATCTATGAATAACTGCTATTGAAACTTTAAGAATTGATTCCTTCAACGATTCCTAAGATTTCATATCAAGAAATGCATTAAAATCTTTAAGTTTGGGTTAGAAACCGTTTTATTAACCTTACGAATGAAGATTAAGACTTAGCCAATCTTTGAATGACGTGTTTCATCTCGTGAGAAAAGGTTTGAATTTGAAAAATAAACTAGAAAAACGACCAAGGGCTCTTTTTATAGTTGTTTATGAATCACTGTTCACATTTAAAAATAATGAGACGTCGTTCAAATCATAAACCGTGAGATTTTGAGGGTTCTCATATCTTTGTTTCACAATTAAAATGATGAGTCATCTTTCTGTCCACAGATCATCGAATGAGCTGCAATTTCTCTTAGAGAGTTTGATAACACTCTGGTAAATTTTCACAGGATGAAACGTCATCATCATAAAAATACATATACAAAATCGCGAAAAATATAAAAGACTATAAAAGAAAATGATATTTTAGAGTTATGTAATACGTATAATTTTTAGTACAACAAACAAAATCGTCAAAAGGATGAATGAATCAGAGTTCATTTTTGTTCTTCAATTAATGGATAAAAGATCAAAACAACATAACTAAACCGAACCGGGTTAACTAGCCAAAACAAACCCCACCTAAAGGCTAATACCGTACTACCACTACTGCTGAAAAGTTACACCTACCCACCCCCACCCACCCCACTACCCCACGTCACCCCACTACCCCATCTCATCAACCCCCATCTCACCCATACTCTATACACCCTCCCACCCACTCCACTACCCCACCCACCCACCCCCATCTCTCACTCTTACACTCTCTCCATGCGTTCTTGTTCATGCTTCAAGGTCCTACTCAAGAACAGGTCAGTCTCATCTGGTAATTGAGGGGTATGTATGTTTTCTCTGTTTGTTAAAATCTTCGATTTGATGACTCCCACCCCAAATTAGGGTTCAAAATTCTTTAAAAATCTATTCTTTTTCGATTTTCTGAATACCCTTTACAGTTTTGCTCATAAAGTTTGCATTTTTATGGAGTTTGGAAGTTCTATGTGCAACCCCTTTTCAGCTTGGTCTTGTATTGTTAATATAATGTGGACACATGAAAGACTTTTGCTTTTTCCAAAGCATATTGACTCAAAGTTTGGATTTTTATGGCTGTAGGGAGGAAAATCCTTCATGATATTCTTGTAAATTCAACCTTTAAGCTGTCTATTGTATGTGTTGATAAAAGAAAATGGAATGTTGTTTTCTTTTTTCTTTTAATGATGCAGAAGGGGAAAAATAACTTGTTTCCTATTTAGTTTTATTGTTATTTGAATTTGGACTGTAAAATAAATAAGCAATTTAGTTCTTATAATCAATCAATGTAATTAAAAAAAAAAATCTTATAATCAATCAGTCAACTTGGTTGAGTTCAGAGTATAGTGTGCACAATTGTATTTATTTTAGTTACACAGATTTCGCTCAGTGATGTTGCGGCTATAGAAGTGAAAGAAAGTAAAGAGTGGATGAAGAATAAGTTTCTTTGGTCTGAAGGTTTTAGGGAAATCACTCACACATAATATGTCTTTTAATAAGCGAACGTTAGATCTTTTTTTGTTTATACTTTGTAGTTTTGGAACTTTTGGATTTTCTTCGAGTTACCTTTACAGATCTTTTCTTCTGTTGATTTCCTTGATATTTCTTTGGAATTGCAGCTTCTAATCTTGGAACTGTTCAATCTCTTCGCAGCTGAGTCTGATTATGTCTGGAAGAATCCTCCCTAATTTGCCTGTAAATAAAATTTAACTCTGGTTTGCTATTCTGTATTTTCTGCTAATGTCATCAAGTAGATGAAAAGTTAAGTCATTTTAAAGAAGCTTCTTTTTTCTTTCAACAAACAAAAGATGCAGAAAATGAGCATTAAAAAGTTCTTATAAAGTATAAGTCTGATCTTAATGGAGTTTATTTTAGAATTGCGCAAATGATTAATTGTACGCTTTTTCAGTTGGTCATGTTGTGCATGTAGAAGTGGAGGAGAGGAAATTAGATGGAGTATACGTTTATTTTCTTCTCTTCAAATGGATTTTATTATATATATCAGTTGAATGAGCAAATATACAATTTTCCTTTTTTCCTTTTTGTTTTCCAGAAGTTGGTGAATCTGAGTGAAGTCCTGTGGAATGAACAGCTTGTTTCATGCATGTTCAACTGCAATATTAACAAGGACTAGCCATCTTGTTGTGAAGAGTTCAATCTGTGGATTTCCATCTCTTTCATGGAAGACAAGCTTTGGTCATGCTAGAATTGGGAAAGTTGATTCCAACTTGTATTTGAATAGAGTTTCTGTTCGTTGCTTTTCGTCCAAAAAACATAGTGGAGATAGTTCTCCATCGCAGAATTCTGAGTTCACTACAGAAATGAAAGAAGAGAGAGATGGTTTCTTTGTTGTTAGGAAAGGAGATCTGGTTGGAGTCTACAAAAACTTGAGTGATTGCCAGACCCAAGTCGGATCATCGGTAACTACTGTTATTTCAGCCATTTATTGATCTGTTGTTTGTAGATGACTTTTATTCCCAGGAAAGACATAAAGACAAATACGACTCATCAGAAATTATCCATACATTATGTACAAAATTTACTTTTTCATATTCTTGATGATTAATCATAGGTAGATTCAGCCAAAAAGTCAAAACCTTGTGTAGTAATAACATTACCTTATTTTTTACTCTCTCCGTCCAGTTTACTTGTCCAACATTGACTTGGCACACCCTTAAGGAGCAATAACTAAAATGACAAATTTTACTATATCAACCTTTGAAATAATAAACTTAATTTTTTGGGAAATACACTCTGAAATGATTATAGTTAATAATAAGGGTAAATTAGGAACTTAGTGAGAACTTACCTCTTGGTTTTCCGAACTGCACAAGTAAAAGTGGACATTTATTATTAGTATAGTAGACTAGTAAAAGTGTAAAAAGGGAGTAACTGCAATTTCAGATAAGCTCATTGAGTGACTGACAATTGTTAAGGAATGCTCTAATTGAAATCGGAGGATAGTTTAAGTAATTATGTCTTCTATAGGTTATTCTTTTGCCTCGTTGTATTTGTAAAACAATATCTGTGAATACGAGGATAAAAGAAAGAGGTAAATTGAGTTAATTGTTTACCTTTCCATTAGAAAGTATTTTCCCAAAGTTCTCTGTTCATTTCCAGCAACCATGCCTTCTCCATAATGTTAGGATTTCTCTGTCACTTCATCTGCCTATTGCCAAAACTTGAGAACATGTAGTATGGATAGATAGGTCTTCTGCTGTAATTGGACGATGCTTGTGAGATGACTTCCCAGTGGATTCTTTGACTTCTTGCACATATTATAAGGGGTCAAATCTTGTGAAGCTTTTGTTCATCCTTGGCGCTGCAGGCTTATTTTAGTGAAATCTAGTTATAACAAATAAAATATAAATAAAAAAGGAAGATGTTATCACAATGAAGTTTCCAGACTTGCAATTGATATAATGAGTTGTTTTCTCTTCCTCTTCTGTTTCTGGCAGATATGTGATCCTCCTGTGAGTGTGTACAAAGGCTATGCCATGCCTAAGGACACAGAAGAATATCTTCTTTCTTGTGGGCTTAAAAATGCTCTCTATTCTATCAGAGCTGCAGATCTTACCGAAGATCTCTTTGGGACTCTAGTACCATGCCCTTTTCAGGTATAGCTCCTGAGCAGTTCTCTTGGATAAAATTTGTTCCTTTTTCTCAAAGGTGAATATTTGATTTCAAAACTTGTTGTCTATGAGGTTTCATATATGATTTCCTGTCTCTGAGAAGAAGAGGCTTTGAGGCTCCATCATTAGAATGTAATATTTTGCAACTTAATATCAGTTTATATTTTATATTAACCTCAAAGGAATCCCATGGTACTGTTAAAAACAACGACCTAAAGAAAAACTGTAATTGTCATGTTTCCACAGCTGTTCTCCAGAAACAAAACCATGAGGTGCCTGGCTGAATTTGTGTCTTTTTTCTAGAGAGTCTGATCCTGCTTTGGTAAACTTCTTTTGATAAACCGAGGGTCTATCAGAAACAACCTCTCTACCCCATAAAGGTAGGGGTAAGGTCTGCTTTTACATCCTACCCTCCCCAGACCCCATTTGTTGGATTTCATTGGGTATGGTTGTTGTTGACTAGAGAGTCTGAAAACTTTACCTGTTAAATGTCAGAGTTTTCATAATCCAACCACTATGACTCGATTGAAAGAAGTTTTTTCAACTTTAAAACTTGGCTGTACCTTAAAGGTATATCATAGGAATGAAAAACTTCCTGACACACCTATTCTTTAAATAAAGAAAGTTAAAGATTTTAGTACAACACCCTGACCATTTTAATAATGGTACAAGGGAAAACTGCGAGAGCTTCTTAATCATCATGCATGGTATACACACTTCTTTTTGTTTCTTCTATATTGTATATCAAGGATCATCTCTGAATGCTGATACAATATCAGTAGTTTTGTACTTTCTCATTTAATTTTCTACTGCGTATCTTCATGTTCACATTATAGTTAACTGAAAATCGACTAAGGGGGTGTTTGGATTGGCATTTTTAAGCACCTCCAAAAATAAGAGTTTAAAAGCCAAAAGCTTCTTAAAATAAGCCAATCCAAACACCCTCTACAACAATCATTGCCTGTCTTTCTTTGATTCTTCTCTCTGTTTGTCTCTCTGAAAGTTCTTTTGATTTTGCTCTCTCCATGCACTCTTTGCTTTATATGGAATTGCTGGTCAGTTGTATGCTCTGATAGTTATCATAAAGTTGCAGCACCCAGAAAATAATACATGTTTCTTCTTCCCTCATTTTCTTTTATAATTGGTCATACAGCTTATTAGTATTTTATATTTTGCAGCAACCTTCTTCTTCAAAAAGTGGAACATCTGATCATTTGCCAAAGAAGAGGCCACAGGAAGCAATGTGGTCAGAATATGCGGTACGATGGTTTTATATTGTTTTGCAATGGAAAAGTCTACCAGGGTTTGCAGCAATTTCTTTTGAAGTTATTTCCACTTTACTCTATAATCCAAGTTTAATTACTTCTCTAAATCATTTTCCAAGCAGGGTTTGGTTCCTAAGGAACTCAATGTACTTACTTATTATGCTTGCATGCACTTCAATTTATAGATTCCTTGATAGAATTCTCTGCGAGATGCCATAACTAATGGTTTCACGGTTATATTTTTTGCATGATAAATTGTGTTTGGCTCAACACTGTTATGGAAATTATTTTGTTTATTTGCTCCCCTTTGCAGGATGCTGTTGGATCAGCAGTTGTTTCAAATGATTCCGCAAGAAAGCATGTCAAGTTAGAGCAACAAAAGGGCGACCAAATTCTAGCTCTTCCATCTGGTGTGAGTGTCTGTTATGATGATGGCTAATCTTTAAGTATAAATAATTTCTTTATGTGTAGTTCACAAAGCGAATGAATTTATATTTTATAATTAATGGTAGGTTGCCAGGAGAAAAATCCTATTTTTTTTACAGATTAATGGTGTAAACTTAACTCTGTGTGGCAAACTATCAGGCTAGGATCTTATTATATTTTCTTGTTGGTTTGTGTTCTGGTTCAAAGAATCTGATAGTTGTTATCCTTAGCAGCGGTCATGTACTCTTGAATTCGATGGTGCTTCAAAGGGAAATCCTGGACAAGCTGGTGCAGGAGCTGTTATACGGGCGGATGATGGAAGCATGGTAGCGATCACCAAATTTGGAATTTTTCTTTTGCTTTTGGTTCTTCATACTTGTACTTACAACCTTCCTTCTAATAGACCCTCAGGCTACGTGAAGGTTTAGGAGTGGCAACAAGCAATCATGCTGAATACAGGGCATTTATTTTGGGTTTGAAACATGCTCTTAGAGAAGGGTTTACTAGTATTCGTGTTCAAGGTGACTCCAAGCTTGTTTGTATGCAGGTTTGTTTTTTATATCATGTGCTCAGTCGCATATTTCTCCTTTCCCTTGTGTGAGATTATTCCTCTATAGTACACTGCAGTATACTTGTCACATTCTGTTGACTGTTTTAAGTGTGATCTAGTGGCCTGTGAAGTTGGTTGATAACCATATGAAAAATTCAGAAGAGGTTGATTCCTGATACTGTGAAAAAGGTCAAACCTAGAAAAATTCTCGTTTTATCTCAGTGGAAAATAATTGACTAGCTACAAGGATCTGATGAGAAGTTCTTTTGCTCTATATATTTGCTCGGATTCTCCAAAAAATTTGCCACCTCTCTGTCGGTTCCTCCAAAAATGCACTACTTTTGGAGGATCCAACATGCACTCTTCGAAACTCTAGAAGAGTCCAAGCAACATAGCTTTTGCTTATTAGCTGTCCTCTATTCTCAGTTTATTTGACTTTTAATCAGATTGTAATTTGCCAAACAGATCCAAGGTCTGTGGAAGGTTAAAAATCAAAACATCGCCATGGTGTTTGAGCAGGCAAAACAATTGAAGGAAAGGTTCCTTTCTTTCCGCATCATTCATGTCCTTCGGGTAATACTGTAACATCCTTTCTCTTCTTTCATTCACACAACGCAACTCATCAAGACATGATCTCACACTCTCACAAGCCTGTTCAATAATAGCGTAAAAACTACATATATATTTACCTATCTTCTCCTTGACGATTTTTGTAGAAATTTGACATGTCTCTTACTCTTTTGTTTTATAGGAATCAAACTCTGATGCAGATCAGCAAGCAAACTTGGCTGTTGAACTTCCAGGTAAAGAGTTACTCCCTTGCACACTCGGAATCTGTCATTGTTATAGGTCATCGAAGTTATTATCTAACTACGTCTATCAATACAGAGGGTCAAATTCAAGAGGAGGTAGAGAAGTAACAAAACCACACTGATGGTTTTCGCGTACATTACAGACAAGGATTTATTTATACACCCAATTTGAAGGTTTGTGCTATGAAGCCAGTGAATCATTCGTTGATTTAGAGTCAGTACTCTTTAAGATTAATGTTATTGCAATTAGGTTATGTAAATGTATTTGGAACAAATGTTATCATTGTTACCTTTAAATTCTCAGCAATGGCTCTGGGGAACGTGCTCTACGTTCCCCAGATACCCGTAAAAGATCATGAAACTTATTGATACAAATCAATGTCTCTGTCATTTGTAAGATTATTATATGTGTATGTATCTAACAATGCCAGCAAATAAGTTGTAGACTCATTGAGCTGTGATACATCTTCTTGTCAAAGATGATTTTATTATTATAGATATAATGAACTGTTGCTAGTTCTTGCAATTTGTATGGTTGGTCAAAATTAGTATCTAAAAGTTAAAAATTCAAGTTCAATGAAAGAATTAGTTTTATTTTTTATTCTAACCAAAAAAATTATTTATTCATAAAAGATTTTTTTGATAAGACAGTAAATTTTATTAATTATATTTTGAAAGCATTACTTTATACAGTGATTTAACTAATAAAATATAATACTCTTGATTTGTTAAAATATGTAAATAAAATACTCCAATAAAGTTAAAGGAAAAAATGAAAAATATATTCCGAACTATTATATAGGTATATAAATATCTTTTGTTATACTTTAAGAATATTGATGCCTCTGTCATTAAAAAAACTAGAGCATATATGTCTCTCGCCAATATGATGTTTAATAAATATCAAGTGGTGAATAAGATTGTGATACGTATATATCCATTAATATAAAAGATATATATGCTCTAGTTTTTAGACGGTAGCATCAAAGATTCGAATATATGACCGAGGTAATTGCATACTATAAGTTTTTAGAAAACTTGATATGATGAATTAAACCTCTACCGTTGGATACGTTCTTCGAAGAACCGCGGATGCTTGACACGTATGCATGTACTGCGTCCTACGCTATTCTCTTTCCATTTTTTTTTTCAAAACAGAGAAAAGTAGTACCGACTTATGCTTCATCTGCAATGAAGATTTTGATGATTAGGAGAGGTTTACGGTTACTGGCTACCGGAAATTTGAACTCCTCGCCGTTGATTTACCGGCGGCATTCGTTTTACTCGACGTCGTTTTTCTCTAGTTCGTCTCGGTTGAATGCTAACTTTGCCGCAGATGATTTGCTGCTCGGCGATCAATTAGCTACCTTGGCTTCCAAAGCGGAGACGTCTCAGAATCTACTTCAGCCTGGTGTCGTTGTCTATGACGGCGTTTGTCATCTCTGTCACAACGGTATTAATATTATCATCTTCCTAGTGTATGTTTATTCGTGGTTTTAGCTGTATATTGCATTTATGCTTTGATTTCTGACTATTACTGTTTATCGGAGGCTATAAATGAGTACAGGAGTGCGGTTATTGTATAGTTTTTGTGTTTGTAGTTACATCTTATCAAATTGAATAGGATTTTAAGATTTATCACGATTTTTCACATAAATTAGTTGGCAGGAAGATGGTAGGAGCTACCATTTTGAGAGAACACAAGCAAGGTAGCTTGTTTACTGTCCTAGTAGTGTATTTTGGCAAGCATTTAGAAAGCGAGAATCCACTTTTGGGCGAAGTTTACTTGTACAAACCGGCAAACAGTAAGTTTGTCTATAAGAGAAATCTTCATTCTCATTGCCTCAACTAGTTTGGGATTGAAGCGTAGTTGCTTGACTGTCTCAATTGGATGATGGGGGAATGGTTATTCTTTAGGTCTAAACTACCGTGAGGGGTACATCCATAATTGGTCGTCTCAGTTTATATGAGCTTCTTGCCATTTTATATGTAGGTGTGAAATGGGTGATTAAAGCTGACAGGGATAAGAAAATCAAGTTCTGTTGCTTGCAGTCAAAGGCTGCTGAACCTTACATGAGTGTGTGTGATCTTGATCGAGATGACGTTCGTCGTCGCTTCTTATTCATTGAAGGCCCAGGTTTATACCATCAAGGCTCCACTGGTTAGAAACCATTGCCCTGTATTACTGTATCAACTTGACTACCTCTTTATTGTGGTTTCACAAATTATTGCCATTATATAAATATTTTTTCTTATTTTGTATGTCCAAGTAGCGTTTAACATTTCCAACGAGAGCCTGGCTGACTTGTAAATGCAGTGCATCTGATTACTCCCGAGTTGTCCTTCCATGAACTACATAATCATTCTTATTTTGAAGACAAGAATTGTTTGCAAATATACTATGGGCTATGGCAGATAGCTATGATAAATTTACTTTATGCAGTTTGCTTTACGTAGACCTCAAGATTCTGGTAATTGGATATTGATGGGTATTGGCTTGAGCTAATTGCTAGTGTAAAGAGATATGTGCTAACTACTACTGTCATGACAGCTTTACCCCCATGAATTCAGATACGGTTGCGCTCAATGTGCTTCCAGCTGATATAATTGGAATTGTAATTCATAGTTTTACCCATTGTTTCAAGGTGCATATAATTAAACAGATTTGGAGCATTTAGGTTTATTTGAGCTGGTATTCTAATCAAATCGCAAAGGAATCAACTATTGGCTAGATCTCCCCCACCCCTTTATTTTTATGTTTAATTTTTTTTATGTTCTGTAATGAAAAAGTTATCATGATCCATTGAAAGTGGAATACCGAGTTTCATAGACTGCTTGCTTTCTGTACGTTGAGATCCAGTATAGCAGCCTTTCTGCAGATCCTTCCTATTCTTGCACAATTAAGCATACTCAGTATGTTGCTTTTGTTTTTTCCTTGCTAGAATTGGAATGGTAATAGTTGGCTGTGGAAATCACAAGTCTAATATATCTGATTTTTGCTGCAGCTGCACTGAGGGTTCTAGCTCACTTGCCATTACCTTACTCTGCGCTGAGTTACTTCATGATTGTACCTACTCCTTTAAGGGATGCTGTTTACGATCATGTTGCCAAGGAGAGGTATAAATGGTTTGGGAAGAGTGATGACTGTTTAGTTCTCCGGGAACAAGACTTGCTTGATCGCTTCATTGATAGGGAAGAGTTGCTTGAACGTAGCCGATCAGTTTTGTGAAATGCTGCTTCAGTGGAGGTCGTTATAATAAGTAAGTTTCAATTAACATTCTTTTGGAGTTGTAAGTATGTAGTCCATCCATAGTATACATACACTACATATAATCATGAGTGTGGAGAGCTGGGAATGCCTTCGTTTTTTGTCATTGACGAAAAGTACATCTGAACCTTTTGCCTGTTGAATGCTTGCGTTTGGTTTCATCATTAATATAACAAAGTGCCATCGTGAGAATGAGAAACTTTTGTGACTAGTTTCTCTACATAGTCCTTTAATTTCTAGTCCTATACTATCACATACTACTGTAAAGGGAGTTACCAACACAAAAATAGCATCATGCATCAAAACTTCTGGCAACAGATCTTGGTTGTTGGATCATCTTTTCTTGCCACTATTCCATTCCTTCTGGATCTTGGTTGATAAGTTACTTTTTCTTGCCACTATTCCATTCTTTCCAATCGTTGTCAACATGACTTTGTGCCCATTTGACTGCAGCGCGTGCAGCTTGTGGTCCTCCTGGTAAACCTCTGTCGTTTATGGTATCAGCCATATCGATGAATGGAACAACCAGTAATGTTCCTGGACCACCATACTCAGCGTGTAAGAACTCGTTGAGGATCTGTCGAAGAAATTATTTGAACCAATGTTACTTACATTTCAGTAAACCTCCTGGAAAATGCAACTTCAAGCAAGACTATTACAAATTCAAACTTGAAAACCTGAGTAAAAAGCATCTTTGCCAAGGTAAAAGACATTTGTGCAAGTACTTAGGAAATCATATCAATGAATCAACCCAAACTCAATCCTAAGTTGGCGCTATGTGAATCCTCTATTAATTAGATCCAAATGGTGGCACACATAACTGAAGTATCAATTGCAAAACATGCCTAGAGGGTCCTAGATTTATTTCATTAAAATCCATAGACTTTAAGCTATTCAATAACTCCTATTACATGGGGTGATTAACTCATAAATACTGTGATTATCTAACCGCTAAAGAGAAACACATTGATTGATATCGGAATCCTGCAGAATGAACATACCATTACGTCTCACACAATCACTCTACATAATGTCATCTAAAGCATATACATTTTTCGAGCTGCAACGCAGGATTCTTGAATTACCATCACAACAAAGCCAGCAGAGAAGTAAATATTACGGCAAATAAAGGTAGTTTTGTTTTATGCTCTCATTTGTTCAAATTTTGGTGGACACGAGTAAATGCACGCAATGGCTGAGTATATAGAACGAATGATGGCCAGCTGAACACCCTTCATCAAAAAAATATACTTTGTACATACGTATCAAATCATGATCACCCTTGACGAAAATTCACCGTGTTCCGCACGTTTTATGAGGGAGAATCAGGAAGCAAATCTCTCTTCTCATGTTCATTTTATTTTAGTAGTCTTAGCTCTAATATTTACATGGCATTTTAAACTTCATTTCTACTACTCCATGTTAGTTCGATTAATTTGTTAATCCTTCGTTAATTGTACCCCACTTGTGCGCGATTACACTGGGTATGTTGTAGTAGAGTAAAATTAGTTGAGCTACGCACAAACTGGCTGAAACAAAACAATAAAATGGAAGTACCTCAGTGCAGATTCCAACAATTTCTTCAACAGAATCTCCATAGATATCCTTCTTTGGAAGTTTCTTAAGCAAATGATCTCTGAACTTCTCTGTTTCCTAAAACCCCAACAAAACCCAATAAAAATCCGAACTTTTTTAACAAACGGGTGAAATGAAAGAGACCCAATGAACCAAAATAGATTACAAAGACGACGACGACGACGAAGAAAACTTACAGCATCAGCAAACTCAGGAATGGGGTCAGGGAATTTGTATTCAGCAGCTCTGCAAATAAGGTTTTGTCTGCATCGTTTGGGAGAAACCCAAGAGGAAATACATCTGTATGATGAAGAAGATGAAACCCAACTGACTGAATTTGAGATTGGAAGATAAACAGAGGGCGAAGACGAAGAAGAAAGGAGAATGGATGAAGAGACAAGTGAAATAGCCGAAGCCATTTTAGCACCCAGAGTTGAACACACGGACCTTTTCTCTTATAAAAATATATAAAATCTTATCTCTACTCAAGTACATATCTTTTAATATTTATGAGTCAAGTAGAAATGGTGGAGTTTCACGTACTCCTTCCCCAATCCCCATTGAGGGTACCATAGAGTTTTTACAAAAATATTATCGAGGAAATATTTATGAATTAAGACATACATAAAATTGAGAAAATCGTTCAATTTTTATAACATAGCTGTTAAATGTCCAAAATACGTAAAAAAAAAAAATGGCAAGACTTCGCGTAATACTCCCCAGCTTCCTACAGAGTTTTTAGTAAAATCTTTTTTTTTCTTTTCAAAACAATAGCTCGAAGTCATTTAACCAAAATACTTTATGTGAAAATACATACGAAGAAACTACGAAAATCGTCTCTTAACACTCCTAAATACCCAAAATATGTGCAAAAGATGGTGAGACTTCACGTTTTGATTCTCCAACTCCCTATGAAGGATTCCATATATGTTTTGCAAAACAAAGGTCTAGAAGCCAAGTCATCAAAATAAACATGAATTTACACGCACAAAAAAATAGAGTAAATCTCATAATTCTTGTAAAAAAGCTACAAAATGCCCAAAATATGTTCAAAAAATAGCGAAACTTCACATACCGGTTCCTCAGTCTAAAAGCCAAGCAACCAAAATAATCATGAGCTAACACACAATCTTGTAAAATAGCTACTGAACACCCAAAATATGTGCAAAAAATAGTGATGCTTCATGTACTGCTGCTGAACTCCCTTGTAAAGGTTTTGCAAAAACATCATTTGTAAACTTTTGTTTTCAAAAAAACGAACATAGGGACTGGACTTCACATTTTTGCTCTTGTTCTTCATAGTGTGTGTTTCGACATTGAGACATGCCCTTGATACATACACCTATATACATACTAGCAACTACTTTAATCACATAACATTTTGTTCCATACATTACAGACATGGAAGTCAAAACATCAGCTTGATCAAAAAACAGAATCTCCCTTGGATTCGAGTCCAGTGTCCTAAGTCCCCGCGTAGAGCTAGCAAAAATTGGCACAGTTCAAGATTCTCATAGATTCCTTTCATTTGGTTCCAGCGCGGGAAATCCAAGGAATTCGAACACTTGCTTCTCAGTTTCAAACTTCAAGCTTGCACTACCTTTAGTCTGTGGAGTAGATGCCAAATTAAACCAACAAAATGAAGAAAAAAAAAGAGAGACAGGATAAAGTGAAACATATGTTGCAGACTTGCAGAGCCACAAAAGCTAACTATTTACCCGTTTTCCAGCAGAACTATGAGTAGCTGGATATAGCCCTGTATCATCCAAAAGGAAGCCCTTCGATTCAGCTAACAATCTAAGTCTGTAAAAGACATTGGAATATGAATTTGATTATAAAGAGGTGGCCGAAATGAATACTTGGTATAGCTGGGGTGGCGAATAAAGGAGGCATATGAATTTGATTATAAAGAAGTGGCGGAAATGAACACTTGGTATATAGCTGGGATAGCGAGTCAACAAGGTATACCTTCTATTCAAGACGTCATTTCCCGTCCATGCTATCAGTCCAAATGCATATATATCCCTTGGATACACCTAACAACAGAAATCGAGAGGCTGCAACTTATACATACTCGTGTTTGATGCAGGTTATTTTGCAGGAGCAATGAATGAACAAAAAAGTAGATCCAGATCTCACACTTAACATATAACAAAAGTGGCCAACAGTTGAAAGGACTTAACCAATATGAGACAAAAGCTATTCTCACACCAAGCTACTTCTCTTTGATTATTTTTCAGTTTATTCTCGAGAACGAACACGTCGGTGATACTCAGCATCTCATATATCATGAAAACTTCTGCTTAGAATTGTTTTTGCAAAAGTAATTGCCAAATTCTGGAAGAAGGATATGCACTCCTTATACTTGTTATTAGGGGAATTGACCACTACATCAGTAAAACACCAAAATCATTGTGGAACAAGGATATGCACTCCTCTTTCTTGTCATTAACTGAATAGACCACTTTATCTTTGAACAACCCAAAATATCTGACAAATGATATAGCATCAGTATTACCTTCAAGTCAATACGATGTCGCAGTTCTCGACCAGGATAAGTGCAGAGACCAAAATATGTGTCAACTCCTGAATCTGTACCCTGTGATCATATGAAACATTATTTCAGTTTCGCAGTTGACAATAATAAGATTTTGTTTAGTTTGACATTCAGTTGAAAACAATTTGAAGAAGATAGAACTATATCTATTAGAATTAATTTTGGTTTCTTAGAGAACTCCATGAAAACTACAGCCGTGAACCCAAAAAATTCTCTGACCAGAAAACTTACTTTGAATCGTGTTTGTCAAATGACGTGAAATCACATTACATTATGTTCAAATCCCAAAAAAACGCTTACAATCTAGATAGTAGTAAGAACTAAAGGTTGGACTACACTTATCTTGACACTACTAATTTTCACAGATCTGGATACTACTAATTCTCACAATTTCCCCCATAGTTGTAGATATAGATGAAATATGGCACCAACCTTTGGTTACCCATGGAAGGGGAGTTAATATTATTATTTTCTCCACGCAAATAGAACAAAACAGCCTGTTCGAGTGCACCTAAACTGACACCTAAAGTTTAATAAAAAGGGAGAATGAACAGAAGGAAAATTGGAAGTTAAAAAGCTCCAGTTCAAGAAAACATAAAATCTCAAAATGAAAGACAGCTGAGAACATGATTATTGATTAGTAAAGATACATGAAGAGGACAGGTTGTAGCTGAAAGTGAGTAATTACCTCTGTGCTATGAACAGTGAAGACCAAATCTTCTCTTAAAAACTCGATCTCCTTTAGACGTCTTACAAACTTGGGAAGAAAGCCTTCATGACTGAAAGAACGAAGCAAAATTATCATACTTTTCAAGTATATATCTGAAATGAAACTGACATGACAAGGAAATCAATAACAATATTTAGGATCTAAGCACAAATACTACAGGAAATCAGCAAGCGCGCCAAGCAGAAACAAGCGCGTGTGTTTTTTAGTAGAAGATTAGAGAGGCAAAAGAACCACCAAGCACTAGAAACACTCTAAGCCTATTTCATTTTAGGTTTAAATGGAATATTTGTAAAGCGAAACATGGAGTGGTTTCTGATAAGAAGAAATCACACTGTGGCTGGTAAGAAAGCTGCAGAGGTTTGGACATTTAAATACCAGAAGGCATAAACATCTAAGTGCACCAGCAACCCCCCCCCCCCCCAAACCAAATATATACTTTTTAAAACATACACCATCATACAGAAAATTCATTTCATCTTTATTTTTATGAGTATACACTGGGTATATTGTTATATTATTACGAGTACAAAGGAATCGAAGTCCAAAAGTGGTTTTGTGTTTCCTCCAGAATTATCTGTCAAACAACCTTTGCATTTCATAGAAAAAAGCTAAGTATAAAGAAATCTTTGTGAGACATAAGCCCTACATTGGGATATTAATACCAGAACAAGAAGTCAAACCAGCATACATTTGAAATCAGCCAAACTAAAATGGAAGGCCTTTTTCGAGATTACAACGAGTGAACCTTACCTTTTTCTATCAGGATGAGTAATAACAATATCCATATCACCGCAAGAAGCCTTTCCACGTCTATATGATCCTCCACACACAACAATCACCTAAAGCAAGGGATTCATTATATAAAAGTTGGATGTTATTATGTAGCCAAGTTCAACAATATCACAACCATATAGACCAAACTTACAACCAAAATATAGTTAAAAATGTTCAACAAGTAATTGGACAAAAGCCTTACACCAGGCAAAATTTCTTCTCCAACTTTCTGTAGCAAACGTTCCATCTCTTTGACCTACATAATCAATCATTACTCTTTAGAGAAAAACAATAAGTAGTCATGAATCATGATAGTAAAAACTGCAAAGCATAATAGGCTACCTCATGCCGTTGAATCCTGGTCTGGATGTCATCAAAATATTTCAACCCTATCCTTTGAGAACGAGTCAGTGACTCCTCATTTCTAAGGTCATCAAGAGTTCGGTGTCCTTTCTCATAAAGTTTTAGGGCAGTAGATGGACCAACACCCCAAACCTCTCCAAATAAGCTGATTGTTTTTACCTGTAAAGTCATGATAATGTTAGAAGAAGATTAAGCCAATAAGTGTTCCAGAGAGCAGGATAATGTACGTTTGGTTATCATAATAAACGAATTATGGTAAAATTAGCTCTTCAGCTTCAAAATTATTTTAGAACTCTGAATGTAGATGAAGCTTATGTTGTTACGTTTCCCTATTTTAAATACAATACTAAACAGTGTCGCAGTTCAATTCCTTCCATATGTGAATCAGCAGAAGGATACAGAAAGAAAAAATGAACAAAATATATGAATATGAAGTATGCTAGTAAGGCATAAAAGCATGAATTTGAATGCTTTTGACTTCTATCAACATATTAGCAAAGATTGATTATTGAGCCAGAGTCTAATAACATGTAGGAGCAAAACACACACACACAAACGATTAGTAGAGCTAATTCAGAAAAGATTGACATATTGCTTCTTCACAATTCACTACAACAATGCAAATCGGGTACAGATCTCGCAATGATTATTGACAAGTGACTTGAGCTACTGCAAACATATTGAGAGCTTCTGACAAGAAAGATTCCCATAACATCACCTTTTCATCCTTCTCAAAGTGTTCCAATTTGGACAGCTTTCCTGTGGTCACTATCTCCTGAATCTGCAGTAAAAGAACACTATCCTCTTATTCAGTAGATTTAACTGTCCTCCTATTCGGTAGATTTAACTGTAAGCTGGAGGCAAAGGTATTCATGATCGGGAAATCAAAATCCAAGAAAGTGATTTAATGGATAATTGGTTCCGCTTGTCATATCAATCTCATTTCACGAAGTTCGAATAGCTAGAAGCCAACCTCTGGCAACCTCACTCACGTAAACAGCAACTTGAAATGGTGTGACATAAATATATTTCTAGTAAGGCTTTAAATAGAGGAATTCACTTACATGATCTTGCATTGACTTTCCAATAGAAGGTAGGTGCTTAACCTGGTCCACACTCTCAATTTTGAATGGCAGTTTCTCAATAACTGGTATAGCTTTATAATAGCTGAATGATCTCCGGTCATCACCCAGTGCTATAATAAACTATCAGCCATTGTATCATACTTTGAAAGTTTAAGCTTTTAACTCAAAGGCATCTGTGAGAGAAAAGCTACAAAAATAACATGTATGAAAAGATATTTTACCTCTATATATGTTGAGAAGCTTCCCGAATATCTGAGTGATATTTCGGTTTAAATCCGGAGGCTTATAAAGTGAAGATGAGTCTGATGTTCCAACCTGGTAAAATAATAGTAGAAATATAGATGAAACAGGTGAGAATCGTCCACATAGCTACACCTGTACCTCTGGCTCAGGAGAACATATTAAGCAAGGGCAATTTGCTGCTGAACTTACAGGCTTATTAAGAGAATGAATGGCCTCTGGACTTGTCACTTCTGGGCTTGAAGAGTGTGATGCAAGTAAAGAGGCACTTTTAGTATCTCGTGGATCAACACGGTCTTTATTGTCATTAACGTGTCTTGGGCATGAATTCTTGGCATCTTCAGCAGATATTCGACTTTTCTTTAGTGCAACTCTAGAATGACCGTCATTATCAGAATGACCGTCATTATCAGCTTTAGGACTAAGGGACTTTCCTCCTCCTGATTGCAGGGATAAGACATACAGATCCTCAGATGCTTTTTCTCCTTGTATTAAGCTGTCCTCTAGCCACTGATACGAGAGAAATTTCTATAGGAAAACGAAAAACAATCACCAAGATAGTTGGAGAAACATATTTTTTATCAATCACTAGAAAATGCATCATCTGTCAAACAGGCAATTCGTGTAAAACAACATATTTAGGTCACTAAAGCCCATTGAATATGAAAGGATTTCGGAAGTACGTAAATATATCACAAAAATTATAAGCCACTCCTAAAAGGTTAGGAGTAATATAGAAGAAGTTTAGAAAAATCAACTGTCCTAAAATAACAAATGTTACTTTAAAGCAGCTTATCCAAAAAATTAGTAATTTGAAGCAGCAGGATAAGAATGATATCAGCAAGAAAGGTCAAAAATCTTCCAAGAAAGTAATGGATCAAGAACAAAGATAAATTGGAATACAACTGGTCCGAAAGAGGAAGGCATATTCACAAATGGAGAAGGATATATTATTAGTGAAACATCCATTTACTCAATTATCACTGAGAATTCTATAATGCTCAACTAAAAATTAGGAGTTGTCTTTTAAACCAGTTCAAGTTCTAGTGCTATTTGCCTGACTAAAACTCCCGTCCATCATTCTAGGGCCAAGCATACGCATCATTTTATTTGAGATCATATCATAAACGGTGATGCTTTACTTTCTTTTGTGAGCACTGAATTTTAATTGGCTGATATTTTTACAAGACCCTTGCTTGAAGAAAGATTTTGCACTCTCAGAGAATCTCTTGGAATTATTTTAGATTTTTTTTTATTAATGACTGTATCTTTCCTTATGTTTTCAATGTGAGTTCATTATTCGTTTCCCTCTTTTCTGTAAGAACTCTTCCTATTTGCTGCCTTCTCTCGTCTTTCCATAATCATCATTATGCCTTTTTGCTGTCTTGTCCTTTCCCATCACAAACCCTTGAATTGCCATATTTGTCCCTTTTCTTTCTTCACTCTTCATAAAATTCCTATTTCTCCTATCTTGAAATTTTCCTCATGGCTAAATCACAGAAGTACTCCCCTATAACCACTCGCAAGAGTGCTAGACACAAAGGAAAAAGAACTGTTTCTTCTCCTCTTTCCATCGATTCTGATTTCTCTGAGGAATTCTTTCACCGATTGTGATCTGGTTCCTCTCATGGTTAAGTGTTTTGGGACTACAATACTTCTGGAGAATCTAAGAAAAAATTCAAGTTTGATCTTAGTAGTTCCTTGGATGTCAAAATTGACTTTTGGTGTCCCCCTAATGAAACCATTTTTCACCTCTTAGGGACAAAACCCCATGCATGGTAGAATCGTGGATTTGAATCTTCTTCTTGCCCTTGACTGTCCCATAAAAGACTTCTTCGAATTTCAGGGATGGGCAAACATATGGCCTGATCACTCTTCCCCTACTCATCCTACGAATATCACCTTTAAACTCTTCAATACCCAAAATCCTATCATCTTTTAGAATGCTCCAAAGCTCCAGCATAATGTCTCTATCCTCCTCTTCATTCAAGAGTTTTTTTTTTTTGGATAAAGTTAAAGTTGTATTCTTCTGCATTAAGGGTATGCTAGCTACCTCCAAAAAGTTACAAGCTAAATCCATAATTACAAAGATCCTACAAAATCTACCAACTGCTCTACTTCTTCTATACCATCTTCTTTACACCAAAAAAACATGTTAATGCAACTTTCTTTAACTTTCTGAATAGTGTTAAGAATATTCTCATGACACCTAAGGTTTCTTTCACTCCAAATAGCCCACCAGACACAAGTAGGTACTATAGACACCTAAGGTTTCATTCAAGAATTTATAGAAGTATGTATGTCATTTTCGTCTAATGAGTGTCTCCTCCACCAAAAATTCGCCATCCTCATCTTTGACGCACTTGGTCCAGGTCTTGTGCCTTCACCTCTCTCTCCTTGGCTAGACTGTACGACTTCTTATCTCCTCCTTTGTTCCCTAGTTTCCATACAAGCGATCAAAAGTTGTCGACTTCGATATCCTAACCACCAACTTTGTCTCCTTCTTCACCACTTTATACCTTTCCATATTCACTCGCTTATCCCCTCGTCCTTCCCCTCCAAAAAATTTACTAACCCGTCTTATTTTCTTCCATTCCGCCACAAATTCCCTAGATATCCTCCAAAGCTACTCCTTGAAACCCCCAATACCTCTCTTGCAACTTCCTTAATGCAACCAATTGTCCTATCTCACATATTGCTCGCACAACCACCACTCCCCAAAGCTAACATAGACACCAGGTTACCAAAAAGAAAAAAAAAACAAATTTAACTATACTGTTACTAGTCAATCTTCTATACTATCCAAACAAACTAAAAGCTCCTAGTAGACACTAGTTCTCATGTAGCTGTACCAACATGATAAATACTCATTTAATCCCTAAAAAAACATCAAAAAGTCTCAATTAAAGAGTCTACAAAGCATAAGAGTTAATAAAGCTCACAGCTTTGGTGCGAATCAGAAGTTCTTTATCAAATTTCTCAAGAAGCAAATTTGCATCCTTTGCAAAAACATGAGTTACATTTCCAGTAAACCGGTCGTTAAATATAGCCCCCATTTGCAACAATTTCCTCTTCCATATCTGCAACCAAAAAAAAAAAATTTCAAACAATTATGAAAAAGAAAAAGGAAAAATTTGAAAAAAAAGAAGAGAAATTGTGGATTGAAACCTGTAGCCGGAGGGACATAACTCCGGTTCCGACAAAGAAGACAACCATACCGGAAAACATTCCATTAGGATCACGCGGCGGAGATTCAACCTTCTTTCGCGTCATCACAGTCTTCTTCTCAAAGTTTCAGTTTTGATATCTTCTCATACTAGCGTACACTGTTTTATAAGCTAAAAAAAAAAAAAAAATTACTTTTTAAATTTTTATATAAATAAAAATAAAATACTTGTTTGAATTTGAATTTTAAAATAACTTTGATATTTTTATTAATTAAAAATTTAAAAACTAAGATATTTCTAGTAGATTCATAATGAGTTATTTTGAAGAAAAACTTATATAAAAATACAATATTAAGAAAATATTTAATATTTATAGTAATAATAATTTTTTTTTACTTGATCACTTATAATACATATATATTGCATATATAATTAATTTTCAATATATATTACAGATTTATTATAATATTATTATATATTGATATAAATAATGATAAATAAAAAATATTATTAAAATTAATAATTATTTATTAAAATATATTCATTAAAGTAATTTTTCCTATTTTTCGAACGGATAGAAAATTAAAATCTAAGAAATCTATGCATTTATAATTAAGTTTTTTAAGTTTGATGTTAAGAATTTGATGAATGTAAATTATTTTGTAAAATTACAATCTTATTGACACTATATATTTTGAAATGACTAAGATTTTTGTTCACATTTTTAATAAAAGGATATTGAGAATTGTTTGTAATTGACATGTGTAAGTTTATAGAATAGAAAGAGTGTATCATAAAGTAAAATTCAATAGATAATATTTAAATATAAAATTGTTCTTTTAGATTCGTGTTTGAAATTTCAAATGTACATGACACTAGTGATGATTATCGTACTCCGTAACGTGACACTTTCCATTTTTTTTTCTACAATCAAACGGTTTAATTTTGATAGAATATGTATTTATAAAATTTTATAAATTTTTTAAAATAAAATTTATATATTTATAAATTATGTAAAGAATACTATAAATTATAATAATTGATAATTTAAAATGTTAAAAGTATTTATAAAAAATTTACGATTAAAGAAATATTTATATGAATCTCAAAATATAAAAAATGTCATATAAAATAAAACGAAGGGAGTAATATATTATATTGAAAATGGTCAAACTAAACGACGTGAAATAAACCATTTATACTCTGTTATATTTTAAAATAAAAAATATCTTTAACGTTATTCCAATCTATAAATATTTTCAACAGTTAATAATCTAACTTTTAGAGACGTGATAAGCTACATGCCACTAAACTCGATATTTACTATAAAATTCATAAATTCTTACAATAAAATTTGTAGCTCAAACTATAATTTAAAAATCCAACTCTAACATCCAAAAAGATTCAAATTCAAATTTGATTTGGGTTGGCCAAAACCATTCTCACACTAAATGTCATAAACTAAATAATAAAGATCATAATAAATACAAAGTAATTTTCTTAGGAAGAAATAAAATGTCAAACATAAAAGCAAAATATAAAATAAAATTCAACATGTTGAATTGGTAATATCAAAAACTTCAAGGGCCTATTTGATATTTACTCTTTACACAAATCTTATCTTCCCCAATGCTTACTAATAATACCTTAAACCCTTCAAAAAACCCATAATAGCACACCATTTTCTCTGTAGCTGTTTATAAAGAAGCCCCAAATTCTTAATTTTAGCTAAAAAGGGGTTAAAGCTGATGATTTTACAGCATTCAATTTCAATTTGTAAGCTATGGAGGTCGTCATCTCCACCAAACCTCTATTTGTTTCGACCCTTTGTTGCTTATCAACCACACTGTTGTAGGATTAGAGCATTTGGGTCTGCTGTTTCAGCCTCTAAAGTTGTTGAAACAAATACAAATGAGACATTTTTTGCTGAAGAAAGTGTTTCTTGGACCTCTTTGGGTGTGTCTGAATCATTATCTCGTGCTTTATCTAGCAGTGGCCTTCATAGACCATCTTTAATTCAGGTATTTTGTATTTCCTTTCTGTTAAATTTTGGTCATTACAGGAAATTGTGATTAAAGATTGAATCTTTTTGGTTTCTTTGATTGAATATGAACTCATTAAACTGCGTTATGCTGATAATATCTTATACATTGCATTCCGGAGTAGATATTTCTGGTAAAATTTTGCCTACTATAAAAGTTTGTGACTAAAGGTTGAATCTTTTTGGTTTCTTCGATTGAATATGAACTCCTTAAATTGTGGTGATAATATCTTATATATTGCATTACTGAGTAGGTACCAGTCCTATGTTGCTCGGACTCTTCAACAAAATGTGTGGGTGCCGGATACTCCAAAAGTAGGCATTTTGGAGAATCTGACACTGTGTGTGGCAACAATTTTGGAGAGTCTGGAGCAACATAGGGTACCACTTTCTTCTTATTGTCTGTTGGTAAGATTTCTTACATGATTTAATCTTATTTTTAAAACTATATTAGATTCTGCGATAAGTGCCTAATTTGAATTAAATGAGGGCCTGGTAAGCAATTTGCTCTATTGAGGTCCAAGTATTCTAAGGATTTGTTATTGTTAGACTATTTTTACCCATCAAAGATTGCATCACTCCTCCTTCATTTGAGTTCGTGACCAGGTCTTCTTTTGGAAGCTCACATAGGTGAAATTTTTGATGAGTGGTGCATAAAAAGAAACTTTTTAGAAAATATCTAACAAATTCTCAGTGCATGATCAATATTAATCAAGTCATCTAATAATCACTTATACCAATAATCAAAATCACTTTCAGAATCTGAATCACTTAAGTATTTGATCATTAGCACTCCTTTAATCTGAACCAAACGGGCTATTTGGTTGAATGTGCTGTTATTTGTGGATTTTGCAGCACATTAGTATGTATGAAGAGGGAAGTGAAATCATGTCTTCAAATATGCACACGGAGCTCATTTAGTGATCTTCATTCTAGACTTGTAGTTCTGTGGGTACATGTGGTAGGCTTGGTCGCCAATATGGACATGCTATGGAAGTTTCACTGAGAGGTCGCAATGGATTGAGTTAGCTGGAGAAAGTCGTGTATAAACTCTACAATCCTCAAGTATCTAATTTGAATAGTTCAACTGTCCAAAGACCAAGTAGCTAGACAAAACTGAATTATGTTTTGTTCAAGACGCCATGTTTACTTCTCTCTGTATTAGAGTTCTTGCCCCGTACGTGTTCTTTCTTGTAGGGTCTAAATTTGTGTGATGTAAAGATAAAAATTTGTTTCTAATGTATCATATCCTTTTTTTTTTTTTTTGAAACTGGTAACATTGTATCATATCCTTTTCTTGGAGACACATTTCATCTTTTTGCATAAGAGCGGAGTCACAACTCATATGAAATGACCGCAAGCCCCTCTCCCTAGAGTCAGAAATGACCTTTGTCCCACTTTGCTCCCTTGGTGACTCAAAGTTTCAACTTCTTGCAGAATATCCACCATGTGAATTTTTAGCTTATGTATTATTTTAGTTTTCATCGGGATATATCTTTCAATATTGGTTGTAGTGTTAATCTTAATAGTAATGATATGTAATCATAAATTCAGGCAGCTTGTATACCAAGTATACTTTCAGGTGTTGATGTGGTGGTTGCTGCAGAGACTGGTAGCGGCAAGACTCATGGTTACCTAGTGCCACTGATTGATAAGCTATGCCAAATATCTGATAGTTCAGGGGCTATTACTGGCCAGGATGCCAGGAAGCACAATCGTCTTTCGCTTGTTCTTTGTCCTAATGTTATGTTATGTGAGCAAGTGGTTCGAATGGCTAATAGTCTTTGCAATGATAGTGGTACACCACTTCTCAGTATTGCAGCTGTTTGTGGCCGACAGGTGAGCATTCTCATCGTGATTGTTTATCCTTGTTTACCTGTGAACACTGGTTCTTTCTTGCTGTGGATCAGAGTGTTTTTTTTTTTTTTGCATGATGACGTTGCTATGAATGTTCATTCTGCTTTTCCTCATAAACTTGCAATGTCTCTAACAAATGAGAAATTTAATGCAGGTCTGGCCTGTAAAAGAACCAGATGTAATGGTGTCTACTCCGGCAGCACTTCTAAATTATCTCTATTCTATAGACCCAGAAAGGCGAAGACGTTCAGAGTTTATACGAAGTGTTAAATATGTGGTAATATTTCTGGAGTTATTTAGATTTGGTTATGAGAAAGTGATTTCCCAATATTCATTCTTAGTTATTTTGGCGGTTTGTAGGTTTTTGATGAGGCAGATATGCTGCTTTGTGGAAGTTTCCAGAACCAAGTGGTCCGACTTATAAATATGCTTCGTTTTGATGAGAAGCAGTTATCTCGTTCTAAAAATTCTGGAGCTGAGATGTCATCTACTTCAGACTTGGAAGAGTTTAGGGACCTAAAAGCAGATTATGGTGAAGATGCAGATGAAGTTGAAGATGAAGATGAAGATGAGGATGAAGATACTGAAGTTGGCAAAGATAGAGCAAATCTAGAAACAGATACCAAGGGGCTAAAGAGAAGAGATTGGCGAAGAGTGAGAAAGATATATGAGCGGAGCAAGCAGTACATTTTTGTTGCAGCGACCCTTCCTGAAAATGGGAAGAGAACTGCTGGAGGAGTGTTGAAGCGGATGTTTCCTGAAGCTACCTGGGTTAGTGGAAATTATCTTCATCAGCACAGCCCGAGGTGCCACTTTTTTCTTTAGTCCATAATTTGTTTCTTTAAAGTATTCCTTGGGGGAGGGAGGTAATGCTGACAGAATGGATAAAATTTTCAAGTATTTGTCCATCCCTCACTTAAAAACAGGTTGGAAAATTGATTTACTAGGATCAGATCAAATATGGATTAATCAATATAACCAATCATGGAAAAGGGTAGAGTATGCATGTCCATATTATCCATGCTTCTCTGCAAATAATCCTCTGGATATCCAAGTTCTTCTTTTTGCGGTATCAGTACTTAAGTTCAATGGCTATCCTTGTAATAATTTTCTGAGGAGCATTTTAACTAGTATGGCTTTTATCTCCTCCCTGCTGTCACTTTAGGTTGGAGCAAAGGTGGATTGAAGTTTCAGTTGACACCCAAGTGGACATTCTCATAAATGCTGTGGAAAATGGGAATTCTATGGCAGATAGTAGTCCTGGAGTGCTCCGAACCATGGTCTTTGCAAATACTGTTGACGCTGTGGAAGCTGTTGCTAATATCTTGACAAGAGTTGGACTTGAATGTTTCCGTTACCATAGTGATAGCTCTTTGGAGGAGCGCACAAAGAATTTACTTGATTTCCAACAGAAAGGTGGTGTTTTTGTGTGCACGGATGCTGCAGCACGTGGTATTGACATTCCAAATGTTTCACATGTTATTCAGGTTTGTTTTCTTAAGTAAATACGTTGTTCTTATCTCAATCAGTTTCTGGTTGTTCTTTGATGCCTAATATTTTGGTTTAATTTATTAAAAAGTAGAACAGAGTCGTTTTTCTTTATGCTTTGTACCCAATACACCTTATTATGTCTCATTCACTAAAGAACATTTCTGCATTTTACTGCATTGCTGGGTTAATTGGCTACTTGTACATTGATTTTATTAGCGGAGTTACTTAACTTGTGATGCCTTTATTGGCCTTGTAGTTCCGTATGCATCTATATTGACGTGTTTTTACACTCAATTGTTTTCCCCTCCTCATTGTAGGCAGAGTTTGCCACATCTGCTGTAGATTTCTTGCACAGGGTTGGACGTACAGCTAGAGCAGGCCAACCTGGCCTTGTTACGAGTCTATATTCAGAATCAAACCGTGATCTAGTTGCTGCCATTCGTCATGCAGAAAAAATTGAAGAGCCAGTGGTACGTTCTATATCTTAAAACGCTTTAAGATAGTGACCTAAAGAAGCCTATGTCAGACTAGCCACATAGTTACCAACGCATAAATTTCATATCTTTTAGTGATAGAAGCGTTTGTTTGATTCTAGCGGTGAAATAGAGTCCTTTCAGGTCAGCTTGTAATTAGCTGATAAGCTTAAAGTGCTTGAAGTAGAAATGCTGAACCTGTTAATAAGCAGTTATCGATTGATTTCTAATGTTCTCGACACCTGCAAAAGTTGCTTATAACTTATCGACTTCAATTTCTCAACGGATTCTTTATGTAATCATCTTGAAGAGAACTAGTTCTGTTGTTATATTAAGATTGATATGTTTCCACAGGAGAAAGCATTTAGCAGAAAAAGGAGTTTTCGCAATAAAATCAAGAAAAGAGGCAGAGAAGCTTCACACATGAGGTGAAAAATGTGAATTTTGACTTGGGACTTGGGAGTGAGTTTCTATTTGCATTTGTTTTCTCCACACTGTTTGTATTTTATAGTGTTATTGTAATATACTGTAAAAGAAATTAATTAGTTCAGAGTATTTAATATGAAAGTTCACACATTTTCCCAGTCTCTTAATCATGAAGTGAAGTTGAATATAAAGATCACACAAACAAGTCCTATTTTAGGACTGAGACGTAGTTGTTATTGTATTTTTTGTTCACATGGGGTATAAGTAGACGCAATCGTGCTTCAATTTTTATTGGTAATTGGTTAAAATCAAAACCAAACCAATTTAGTCGACTTTTTATATTTCTAAAAGAAAATAAAAAAAATAACTGTCGGTTTGGGTCAGTTTTTCTCATTTTTTCCGGTTTGAATAATAAATGTCTTGAGGACATACGTATCTCAATCGATACAAACACCTAGTTCATGAACAATTTACAAAAAAGTTATTGTTAGTCCAATTAAGTAATATTAGAGTTATTATTATACAGATAAAGTGATTCAATTAAGAGAAAGTGTAACTCTGTTAGAATGTTAAATAAATGTTAGAATCAATATTTGTGCTAAGTCACAATTTTTTAGCTGTGACAAAATCTAAAACTTACTCTAAAAGACAATAATACATAAAAAAAGTTTGAGTAACAAAATATGCTACGTGATTTCTTTCTATCGATCTCATGTCTTTATGGTCTATGTTTCTCGATTATAAAACAAAAAATTCCATGTTTAACATAATCTGATTTTGTTGCAATCAATTGAGCTAATAAGCCACGAAAACAATACAATATAATAGACCACGAGCTAGCTTATTAGCATTTTAGCTTAAAACAAATGCTTAAACACATTTTTTTTTATTTTACTTAAACGCTAGAGAAATATTTAAAAGTAACTAAAATAAGTCAACGGCGAATCAAAGATTTCATGTACTTCATTTATCAAACTAAGTTTAGACTCTCCACAAACTCATTAATAGCCTTGTCTGAGCTACCTCCTTCACTAACTGTTTTTTTAGCCAAATCTCTCCATTTTGTAGCATTTTTTCTAATCTCATCACTCTTTTCTCCTTCCATTACCTCTTTTAAACAAAACAACAACTCTTCTCTTTTGACAATTCCTAACATGTCATCCAACTTAGGTCTCACACCAATCTCCCATATCTCATCAATAAACTTTGCATCCGTCATTTGATCCGAAAATTGTGGCATAGCCACCATTGGCACGCCGAGGCTTAGTCCTTCCAGCGTCGAGTTCCATCCACAGTGAGTTACAAAACAACCAATGGCTTGATTCGCTAGCGTCTCGAGCTGATTGCACCATGACACAATGAGTCCTTTACCTATTGTGGATTCTATGAATCCTTTAGGCAATTTGCATTTTTCAATATCTCTTACAACCCAAAGGAAATCCATGTTGCTTCCTAGTAAAGCATATGCTATTTCTTCTATTTGTTTTTGTGTAAGTGATACCATACTTCCAAATGAAATGTAAATTATTGATCTTTTTGGCTTTGTTTTTAGCCAATTGACACATTCTTCACTAAGGGGTTTCCATAGACTTGCTCCATATCCTTTGTCATTTTCTATTCTTCCATCTAAATATGATGATGGCACCATTGGTCCTATCAACTTTGCTGGCCAAAACTCTGAAACTCCTCTTGCTATCTGAAATTTTTTACACAAAAACAAAAAAAAAGTTTATATTCATAACAATTCGTATTTGACTAATCAATCTGAAAAATATTTCGATTCTACCATATTAAAGCAATATTGTAGCAGTAATTTATGTTTGACCAATGTTCTATAACTAAAAGTGCTTTTGAGAGAACAACTACCTTTTCAATTTATGAAAAAACAATCGTTTCAATTTGTTTTTCTGATTACGACTAAAAATTTTTGAATTCTATAATCTTAAACTAAAAATATACAGAATATATCAAAATATCGTATAATTTCGTAATCTTTAGACATGTAAAAAAAACTAATTAAAGAGTTAAAAGAAATTTTTTTTTAACTTTTGAAAAATTTTATCACGAAAAGTCGGTGATAATACATAAACCAATCAAATCGTGAAAAAATAAATCAAGATGCCAGACAAAGAATCATAAAAGTGACAAAAAGATAGGGGGCACAAACTATTATAATGCAACAAAATATATGATTCCCACCGCACATAAATGAATCTTTCAAAATATCTCCGTCAGTAAGATTATTAGTTATTTTTAAATTATTAAAATTATTTTTTTATTTGCTTAGATACATTTCTATACATTATCGATCTGTCAAACTACCACATGACATAATAAATGATTTCATTTGGAAGTATGGTATCACTTACCCAAAAACAAATAGAAGAAATAGCATATGCTTTACTAGGAAGCAACATGGATTTCCTTTGGGTTGTAAGAGATATTGAAAAATGCAAATTGCCTAAAGGATTCATAGAATCCACAATAGGTAAAGGACTCATTGTGTCATGGTGCAATCAGCTCGAGACGCTAGCGAATCAAGCCATTGGTTGTTTTGTAACTCACTGTGGATGGAACTCGACGCTGGAAGGACTAAGCCTCGGCGTGCCAATGGTGGCTATGCCACAATTTTCGGATCAAATGACGGATGCAAAGTTTATTGATGAGATATGGGAGATTGGTGTGAGACCTAAGTTGGATGACATGTTAGGAATTGTCAAAAGAGAAGAGTTGTTGTTTTGTTTAAAAGAGGTAATGGAAGGAGAAAAGAGTGATGAGATTAGAAAAAATGCTACAAAATGGAGAGATTTGGCTAAAAAAACAGTTAGTGAAGGAGGTAGCTCAGACAAGGCTATTAATGAGTTTGTGGAGAGTCTAAACTTAGTTTGATAAATGTAGTAGTAGATATTAGTTATTGGTTTTATTGTTATTGTTAATTTCATGGAGGGAGCAATGAAGATTATATTATATGATTTTTAAATTTTCTCATCATGTATTGACCTTTTGAAATTGGAAGTTACTTTTAATTTTTTGTGTTAATTGTACATTTATAATTTGGATTAGAATTATTCCTTATGTTCTGTATTAGTTGTTATGTTCTAAAACATCATATAATAAGAAATAGTTTGACAGGTATCTATGTCAAGTCAAACTATGACAGATAAACGTGAATGATAAAACACATATAACTAATCCCTCTAGCACATACGTAAAATAATACATCGAATGTGACATACTCGCATAATTCTAACCAACTACCAAACGACATACAGAGAACCATCATCACAACATTACATCAAAAATTACTTCTTATTATAAGTTAAGGGCACTTTGTCTTGTTTCCATGAGTAGTCATGTCTGTGTAGCATTTGCCACAAATTTCTCTATTACCGAAAGTGCCTGGAGGAACACATTTGCACCTCATACAACAAGTCCCACAAGCTCTGCTACATAAATTTGGTCTTGAGTGCTTGCTACATCTCACTTTGCATAGTCCTCCACAATCTGTTTATTTATTTATTATTTTTTTAAAAAAAACAATAATAAATCGAACAAACTCTTTGAATTCTCTTCGAGTGTTTGACTAAGTTTCTAAGCTGATCAAATTACGCGTTCTGATTTTATCTTATTACAAAAAGAGAAAGTATAGTTAAGTGCTTATTGTCATAAATTGGTCATTCTTTTGACTTATGGTTATTAGTTTTATAAAAACTTTTGGTTTAACGAAAAATCTTTAATATTTCTCTCTCATTTTCAACTTTCACCATTTATGTCCTTTTTTTTTCTTTATTAAAGAGATGCATATAAATTTACAAAATCTGAAAAAAGTTCCAAGGCTACTTTAGTCATTTTCAAAAAAAAACAATTTATGTACATTTTATATTAATATAAATAATGATTTGTTATAGTTCTGATAATAAGTATTATTATTTATATATGATATAAAACGTAGATAAATTATTCTTTTTTCTATACAAACAAAAAAACAATTTATTCATAAAATTTGTTAGCATCTAATGAAAATAGTGTCTTATTATTTTCTTTTCAATTAAAATATATTGAGAAATGAAACTTACCCACATATGGCAAGAGTCTCCTGTTACCTCCTTTCACCACCTAACAAAGATTTGCAAAACCAATATGAACAATTAAGAGGGTAAAAAAGAGAATTATTCTCGTCCCTAAAACATATCACGTGAAAAATTAAAACAAAAAAATTATCAAAATTACGACAAACAAATTAAAACAACAGGAGGTAACACTACTAGTGTGAGACACTCTTAATATACCTTTTTTTACTCTTATTTTCACATATGTTAATTAGGACAAATAATTTCTATGATGTTTAGTTTAAATTATCATTTTTTTTGGTTAAATAATTTTTAAAAAAAGAGTAAAGTGAAGTACCTGATTTTGGTGGTCTTCAATGTCAATATCAGAAGAGACCTACAAGCAAAGAACATTAATACATATAATTAGACTAGTACTAACACACAAAAAGATAGTTTTAACAACAAAATCATAAAAGAGTTAGGTGATTAACTAATTAATGGTTCAAAAATTTTACTTGTAGTAGGCAGAAGAGGAAGAAGGTGAAAATAAGAAGCAATCTTGAAGACATTTTTTTTTTTTTTGAGTTTTTGAATGAAATATTTTATTTTTGGTATTTTGCCTAAGTTTTTTTCTTGTAGTTTGTGATGACTACTTTGTTACTTTTTATTTTTTGGGGGGTGTAACAAAGTCAGTGCCCAACAATTTATAGGAATCTTGTGATCTAATTGCCCCTAGTTTTTACTTTAAATAACAGATCATAAAGTGGACTAGTCAATCCTTACCTTCTTTTAATTAAGTAGGTATATTGTAGTCTGATTAATTAATTATGATTCGTATCGAAAAGTTTTATTTAGAGTAAATACTTCATATTAAAAGTGAATTATATTAAAAAAATTTAGAAGTTAGAATAATCTTGAATTTCTGAGTTCGAAGTTTAAAGGTTATAAAATATTAATAAAAATTTTAAAACGGTATATAAAATTTTATATTAATTAAAATGGTGAAATCGTTGGAAAACCTCCGCTGGAGCGATTTTGTAGAATGTGATTTTTTAAAAGAAAAAATTAAAGAAAATCAATTTTAAAAAAATAAAATAAAATAAAAATCGATGCCTAGCAGCGATTTTGCTTTTTCCGACGGAGGAAATTGTTGTTGTACTGTTCTGGTTAATATAAAATTTTATATACCGTTTTAAAATTTTTATTAATATTTTATACCTTTTAAACTCTTGACTCTTAGAATTCCTTATATTGAGTACTTCTTTTCTTTCTTTTGTTGTTATTGTTATATACAAAATAAGAATTCTAATATTGAGATAGGAGAAGTGTTATAATTTTTTAAGGGATTAATTAACAACAAAACACATATTAAGTATTTTTAAACTAATAAACTGTGGTTAGTTTAGGAGGTTTTGAAATACAACTCAACTTTGTATAAAACATAGAATTGATATTATAAACAAAAATATCATTTAGAATAGTTAAAGTAATATCATAATCTCCAATAAAAGTTTACGGAACAATCATTAGTAAGAAGAGTGTGTTCGAACAATTGTATAATGCTTTTTTCATGAGCTAATTTTTAAGATTGAAGTAGATTCAAAGTTCATTTCTATAAATTAAATTATTTAACTAATTTAAGTCATTTTTAGTCAAAAATATATTTTTTTTAAACCAAAAACATAACAATAGGTAAATTTGGATCTACTTCAAATAACAATTTTTAACTATTTTCAAAATTTGATGGAAGGAACATGTGGTACTCATAATGGGAGATGTACAGCAAAAGAGTAGAGATTCTTAAAGCAAACACTAATGAATGAAGTGGAAGAATTAATTAATCTATCTCTTTTTTAATCTGTCATTACTCATTATCTTAACATGTTAAAAAATGAGTAATCATTTTATTATATTCCTCAAATATATTTTTATATTTAATGTATTGGAAAAATGATTGTAGTTATTAATAAGAGTTTAGAACTAAAAATGATAATGTAAAAAATAAAAATAGATATATAGTTTTATAGTCCCGCTGTCCACTTTTTAACTGTCATGCTACGTTTTTTAAAAATTGATTTGACTAAATTTAAAGGTATATTGAATATTATATTAATATATTATAAGAATATTTCTGTATTTTTTGGCAAATTTAGAAGTTTCAGTGGGCTCTAAACTCAACGCAATGGTCCTAGAAACAGGCTTGAGACAGACAATAGACAAACAAATGTGGCATGCCAAAACAAAGATTCAATGTAAAGCTGCTGAATTTAACAAACTTTACTAAGTGGCCATCACATCTTCTGTGGGTTGCAATTGGAATATTTGCTCCGCCCAGTAAAATAAAGAGGTTATTTTCGATATACTCAATTTAGCTAAGAATTTAATATATACAAGAGAAGAAAAAGAGTAGAACATGAAAATAAAACGATGACATATAAAACCGCTTAGTGATGTAGTGTTTGAGATGGAGCTTCCTCAAAATCTGCACTACTTGCCTCAAAAAAAAAACAGTACGTACAAAGAGACAAAAAATACAAAAGATAATTATTATTTTACTTCCATTAATTATTATTCTTACGTAATTTAAAATTTTAAATCCGCCTCTACGACATATTCATTTGACATGTCATTTAGAGAGGTTAGACACATTTCATATTCATCAGCTCTGTCCTGAAAACACGCTGTTCAAAGTAATTTTGAAGAGTTATCCACTGAATTCTTAAAGACTGAAAACCCCAGCTGGCCAAACTTATCCAGCTAAATTCTGTTTTTTTGTTTTTTGAAAACTTTACAAGTTCATGTAAATTTTTTCAAACTACTAAAATGACCAAATAAATTTAACATATCCCTCTGTATTTTTTTTCGAGGGGATGGATTAGCATTTAGAACACAGCACAATTATCATATTACTTTAAAACAGTTGAATGACAAACTAAAAGTAAGTTAATTCTGTCCTGCAACACGAAAATAAGCGTAAAAGAACAACTCACAAGAGTTTCAAACTAGAGAATGAATATGAAATGGTGAATAGAAGTAATCTCTATATACTTGCCACTAATGTTTCAGAAACGGAATGTTATTTATCAAAATTTCCACCGTCCCCCCGCTCAAAATGATTCAGTCACAAAGGGGAGCTGAGGTCGGACTCTTAGGAATATCATTGGTAAAAGAAAAAAAAATACTCACCTATGCAGCCCTGCCCCAACCTCAAGAATGAAAGCAGGGAGAAAAATAAATCTGATCTAAGGAATGTGGTATTTTAGAACATAACAGCAAGCTCCTTCTCAGTCATCTCAAATACATGGTCTCTTGCATCTGTGAGAGCTGTCTGAAATTCGGAAATCCGTCCGGATATTGTAAGGAACAAAAAATCGCGTAAAACAGGTAAAATAAGAGAGTAATGTTATATCATTTGAAGTTACCTGTCCTAATTTGGTGAGGAAGTTACTGGCAAGATTTAAAGATGTGAGTCTAACATCTTCATTTGCTTTAAGTGCTTGAGCGATAGAAAAAGCTCCTTCATCCTGTGCGCAAGAGAAACTAAGTTAATACAAGATGATACCTTTATCAAGACAGGTGGTTGTACTTGTACTGGAAAAGAGTTGCATACTCTAATTTCATTGAACCCTAAATTGAGTGTCATCAAAGATTCATTGACTACTTTCAAACTCCGAGCAAGGCAGATTGCACCCTGAAAAGGGATATAGTTCATGTACTTTTGAGGGAAATTAAAGATTGTGGCAGAATAGGAGAACTATAAACTTTGAATGAACCTCGTCTCTAAGTCCATTGGCTCGCAAGTCTAGAGTTGATATGGTACTATTGTACTTCAACATATCGGCAAAATGTTCTGCACCTTTGGCTCCGATCTGCAACAAAATTAGTTGAGCACGCTAAAAAAGTTTGCAAAAGAGGGGGCATCTATATGAAACAATCAATGTATTACCTGACACCAACCAAGCATGAGATCTTTCACATTTCCATGAAACTTGAGTACCTCTGCTAATGCCATTGCCCCCTCTGGTCCAATGGGGTTGTAACCAAGTTCTAACTGTTTGTGAGAAATTTTAAAGATAATGTATTTGATTTGGTCCAATAAATCGGTAAAAGTAAGATGAACTCACGGAGGTAATGACAGAATTATCTTTCAGAACTTCTGCTATGGCACTAATACCCTTAGCATGTATGTCATTGCCCCCCTGTAAAATTCACAGAATTTCAGCAATAAGAGCAAATAGAAAATAATGCTCTGGTAAGATTAAGAAACCCAACCTCTTCCGTGAACAAAAACAAGAAAATATTAAATAAAATAGAAAAGAAGAAACAATTCTCACAAGATCAACATTAGTTATCGAGCGGTTCTCCTTCAAAGCTTCTGCAATCTTTTCAGCTCCCTGATGGATATGATGTAAATGGAGAAAAAAAGAAGGGAAAGTCAATGCATATCAAGAGATCGAGTCTGGATCTGCGACGTAAGAAATCAAATACCTTATTTATGGGGACAGGTTAAACTTTATCCTTCAAATATAACTGTGGATAAAATAAATACATCGTCTATGCAAAAATGGACACGTTTGGTTTCTCAAGTGAAAAGCTTGGTTAGCTGAGAAGAGTCTTTTACATAATAAAGGAAGAAAACTGTGAAAGTTTTAAGTGGTTCAATTACCTCATCTTTAATGTCATTCATATAGAGATTCAACCACAGTAAGCTTTTGCTTTTTTTGACGTATTCGGCAACATGAAATGCTCCTCTTGCAGTAATTGAATTGTTGGCAAGGTCAAGTAAGACAAGTTTCCCTGCAGACATATAATGGTGACCTTTCAAAAAAGATGCAAAGGACACAACGCCAATATATGTTTAAAGAGAATGGTTAATGATATCCAATAAGCAAACCTTTACGCAAAGACAGGCCAGAGATTAATGCCCGTACTCCTTCATCGCCAACAGAGTTCCCCTGCAAATAAAGTTCCTGCATATAAAAAATCTTTTCAAACACATTTGAATAGCAGGTGCATGTTTATGATATACAGTAATATGTAAATAGTAGCCCATTCCCATTTTGGGCAGAACAGATCTAGCTTCAACCTCGGATTGTTGGTGAGGAACATTATGAAACCGCCGAAAGAAGTTTATTTAATAACATGAGGGCATTTCACAGTTAATCACAGTGTCAGCAGACACAGAGGAAATCGAAAAATTTGAAAAGAAAAGCTCTTCTATACAATCAAATGGAAACATGAATAACAACAACAAGACCTTACTCATACCTTGTAGAGGTAGGGAGGTTGTTTCCAAAAAAAATTAAAAAGGAAGGAAATATGAGTGCAGAAGTTGAATAACAAGAAACATTGCAATGACACAGAAGCAAGATATCAAGGCTAACAAAAAGCTCAATTATTTGCTAAGTCAAATTACAAGAACAGAAAAAAGAGCAAAAGGCGAAGGGTCACAGTGGGAGGAAGGAATTGATTAGAAATATACCCTCAAGGACTTATTGCTCTCCAAGCCTTTAGCCAGTGCTGCAGCCCCTAAAGCACCACCATAATTGCCGCTGAACAGTTAATTAAAGCACATAATTAAAAGATATAAGGGAAATAAAAATTAATATGCCTTCCCTCACAAATTAAAATCCACGTCTTTCTCCCCCACCCCCACCCTCCCCCTCCAAACCAATAAAGCAAAAACAAATAATTAA